AAGGAAATTTACTACTAACTACTATGCTATACTGAAAGTGACAATGGTTAAGAGCTGTGTCGTGATCAGGTTAAAGAGAAAAAATAATTAAATTTGTGTGTATGTTTAATTAGATGTCAGTTATGCATTAAAACAATACATTTTCAGTGGGTCCTTATTGTGACGTGAATGGCGTTTCAACATTAAACGCTAAAGATGAAAATATGAGTAGGAAAATTAGATATTCTCTTAACCTACTCATAACTACATTCACTTTCAAGAAAAAAAAAAATTTCATATATTTTTTATCTGCATGCTCTGCACTAATGATTAGGTTACCATAACTATTATGATTAGGTGAGGTTATTTGTTTTAAGATGCATTAGCATAATTTATTCTAAATTCAGATACAATTACATGTTTTTAAACATGTGAGATTTTGCAGGGAATTCAGTGCCTTCTATATTAAATAATTCATTTTCAAATACAGCAAAAAATGAACTAGCAAATTAAAACTATCTTCATGGGTTATGGAAAAGGAAGAAAAAAGTGAAATCTAGAAACAATTGGAAGTAAAAAAATATGTTCAACGCATACATACAGAAGTAAAAAAAATCTGTTATAAATAGAATAAGATAGATTCGTATTTTTAGTCCTGTGTTTTTGAAAAGGAAATTGCATAATTACATTTTTACAAAACAAGTAGGATGTTTAAATTACATAATAGAGGATTTTTTTTTCTCTTAGTTTTTAAGATTTATAAAATAATTTGTTGACATGCTCTACAGGAGTGACCTTACACACCTAATGGTAACTAAAACCGTTCTCTTCAATTACAAAATTCCCAGCATCTATCCTACTATGATACTATCTGAAGATAGGCACCAATGACACAAATGTTTACTCAAATTTTTTGCTGAAAGTTATAATTATCCTAAAGCCTGAAGGGCTAAGCACTAGAGTATGAGAGTTTGTGGAAATGTACTTAATGTGCTTTAACAACAGAAAAGTAACACCTAAATTAATTGTTCCATTTGAAATTATTTTCTGACAGATAAGTATTTCCTTGAATGACACAGTCTGGGGTATCAGATATTTATTATATACAGTATATATACACATATAAACACACACACATTATATAGCCAAAAGATGATGCTCCAAAATTACTGGAAATGGTATTTTGAGTATTTTTAGCACAAAGTAACTAAAGGATGTGCTCTAGCTGTCCAAGCAGCAATCATCATAAACTCTGAACTTGGCTTTTTTTTTTTTTTGAGATTCTATTCATAGAATCATTCTTCGAATGCCACATTCACAGCAAAACTTCGCCCATTCTACAGGGTATTTAGTCCCACATTCATGGCAGAATTTTGGTAAGTTTCCAGGTGAATTTCCTTCAATGCCTTTAATATTTCCACCATTAACGGAAGATGCACAGTCTCCATCTGGCCTAAAAAAGTAATGAAAAAATGAAAAGATAAAGATCATATCAGTAGTTTTCAACCCATAAGCTTGGATAAACAGGGCATAAATATAACAATTATCCTGCTTAATCTCATTTTTAATATTCCTCTAGTCCAAATTAAAAAAAAATCCTTGTTAGTAAATACTATAATTCTAACATTTTTTTCTTTAACATTATATTTATCTGTGTTATGAGAATTTACCATAACTAAATGCAGCCATGCTTTCTGTATTAGTGTGTTCTCACATTGCTATAAAGAACTACCTCAGACTGGTTAATTTATAAAGAAAAGAGGTTTAACTGACTCACAGTTCTGCAGGCTGTACAGAAAGCTTAGTTGGGGAGGTCTCAGGAAAATTAAAGTCGCAACAGCAGAAGGTAAAGGGGAAGCAAGCATGTCTTATATGGTGGGAGCAGAAGAAGAAAAGAGAAGGGGCAGGTATTACACAGTTTTAAACAATCAGATATGGTGAGAACTCACTACCACAAGAACAGCAACGGGGAAGTCCAATCCCATGATCCAATCACCTACCACCAGGCCCCTCCTCCAACGTTGAGGGTTACAATATGACATGAGATTTGAGCAGGGACACAAATCCAAATCACATCACTTTCCATCTGTTCTTTCTGCTAGGAATTTACTACACTGGGAGCAGAATGAACATTTATGATGTCCTTTCCATCTCTAAAGAGAAAACTAGAACACAACCCTGAAGAAAGATAAGAGATCCTTAGGTTTCAAGTCTCTCTCCTTGGTCACAAGGACTGTGAGGTGATACCTCTAGTATTTACTTTAATTTTATTACTTAATGATATTAAATTATTGTAATGCAATAAATAACAAACTCTTATGCATGCCCTCACAGGGAGGTCTCTATTATCTACTAACAAAACAGTAATAAAGGTAAAGTAGATGCTAGATGAACTATACACCATAACAACATTTTAGAGCAAAAAGCTTGAGATTATAAAGGTTTTATCACAAATGTCAGTCATTAAAGAAATCCAGATTCTACTGATGAAATAATTAATTGGAAGAACAGCTATTTGATTCCTATAGAAATATGTTTACATTCCCTCCTGGCATGTGTTCGTCTGAGAACATGATACTTAATTTAAAGTCCCCAGAAAAGGAACTCTTCATTGCTAGGACAATTATAAGCATGACACTACTGGAAAAAATAAATTTCTTTTTATATCCACAGAGGTAGTTATTGAAGAATTCTAGGTGCTCCCTAGTTTGAGTGCATCTTTCATACAAGCAATTTAGGAGTGACAAAAACAAACAAACAAATGAACACTGAATTTTCTTTATTTTTTATTTTTATTTTATATTTTATTTATTTATTTATTTATTATTATTATACTTTAAGTTGTAGGGTACATGTGCATAACGTGCAGGTTTGTTACATATGTATACTTGTGCCATGTTGCTGTGCTGCACCCATCAACTCGTCATTTACATCAGGTATAACTCCCAATGCAATCCCTCCCTCCTGCCCCCTCCCCATGAATTTTCTAATAAAAGGCACTAGGGATCTAAAAGAGACAAAAATAAAGCTAAATGTCCTGCATCAAGAAATATACTCTTAGATATTGAGAGCAAATTTATAGCATAAGCATAATTTATTTAAACCACAAAGAAGACCCACTAATGAATTAGAAGACATAACCCCAATCAAGAAAGAGTACCAAGGGGAAATAAGTCAGCTTTATTGCCAACAATGTATGTAAGAACTATTTAAAAAAATAAAAGGTCATTTCAGTGTTAGCGTATACACACTCAAGGAACTCAACACACATACCAACATTAATAAATATTAAAACTTCAACCTAACTAGATATTGCCTAATTTATTTACATAATGGCTGGCAAATCTATAGTCTCAATGGTAGTATATGAGGTTTCTTAGTGTCTTACATTTTCTAACACAATTCGTACTGTGAAGAGTTTTTTGGTTTTGCTAACCTGATGAGAGTGAAATGGATGGTAGCCTACCACTGATATAATGTACATTTCCTGATTGCTTGTAAGGCTGAATATCTTTTCATATGTTTGTGTTATTTTTGCCATTCCGATTTCTCCTACTGTGAACTGACTATTCCCTATCCCCTACTTCCACCAAAACCCAAAGCCATTTTCTACTGTATGGGTTTTTTAAAACTTTATTGGTAGAAATTCCCCACAATTCCTAGATACTAATTTGTTGGTTTATGTATATAGTAGGTATTCTCTCTCAAGCTATCATGCTATTTCATTCTATCCATGGAGCTTTCTACAGCACTAGTTTTCCTTTAAATAGGATTAAATATATCAATCTTTTGCCATACAATTTGCATTCACTAAATTATTCAAGAAATCCTTTCCTAACTCAGATGAAAATGAGACTTTCTTCTGTTTTATTCTAAAATCTGGATAGCCTTCCTTTCTGCATTTAGGCCTAATTTAGTTCACATGTAACTGATTTTTTTTATACTTGATATGAGGAAGAAAGTTTTTCTCTACATATGGATGGATGTCCAATAGCCCCAGCACTCCCACTTCCCAAATCTGTACTGCTAGTTCTGAAATGTGGCAAATTTCCAGTTACTTATGAGGTTGGGGTCTCTTGCTTACCACCCCACTCTGATAGAGTTCTGTTTGTCTATTCTTGAATCAGTATCACATCTTAATTACTGTGGCTTCATACATCATTCACACATTTTTCTGTTTAACTTGTCCTGGCTAATATTATTAGGCTTTTGTGCTTCGTATACATTTTGAAAACAACTTGTCAAGATGCATGAATTTCATTTGAAAATTTCACTAAATTTATGCATTAATTTTGTGGAGAACAGATAGCTGTACAAGACAGCTGTATGATATTAAAGTTGTTATGTTATAAAGAAGGTATGTAGAGGCATACCTTGGAGACACTGCAGGTTTGGTTCCAGACCATTGCTAAAATGCAAATATTGCAATAAAGCAAATTACATGAATTTGTTTGATTTCTCAGTACATATACAATTTTGTATTATACTGTAGTCTTTAAAGTGTGCAACAGTATTATGTCTAAAACAACAATGTATACATGTACACAATTTAAAAATACTTTACTGCTAAAAGATTCTAACAATCATCTGAGTTTTCAGGGAGTTGTAAACTTTTTGCAAGTAGAGGGTCTTGCCTCAATGTTGATTCCTACTGACTGATCAAGGATGGTGCCTGCTGAAGGTTGGGGTGACTGTGGTAATTTCTTAAAATAAAACAATGAAGTGTGTCACATCGATTGACTTCCTTTCATGAATCATTTCTCTGTAGCATGTGATGCTGCTATTTGATAACATTTTACCCACAGTAGAATTTCTTTTGAAATTGGAGTCAACTGTCTCAAACCTTGCTGTTGCCTTATCAACTAAGTTTATGAAATATTCTAAATCCTTTGTTATTTCAACGATGTTCACAGCATCTTCGCCAGGAGTAGATTCCATATCAAGAAACCGTTTTTTTTTTTTTTTTTTTTTTTGAGATGGAATCATGCTCTGTCACCGAGGCTGTAGCAGTGGCCCCATCTCAGCTCATTGCAACCTCCGCCTCCCAGGTTCAAGCAATTCTCCTGCTTTGGCCTCCCAAGTAGCTGGGATTACAGGCATGTACCACGCCCGACTAATTTTTGTACTTTTAGTAGAAACAGGGTTTCACCATGTTGGCCAGGCTAGTCTCACCTCAGACGATCCACCTGCCTCAGCCTCTCAAAGTGCTGGGATTACAGGCGTGAGCCATCACAACTCCTCATCCATTCCAGTTTTATCATGAGATTGCAGCAGTTCAATGATATCTGCAGGCTTCTCTTCTGATTCTAGTTCTTTTGCTATTTTGCCAGCACATCTGCAGTTACCTCCTCCACTGAAGTCTTAAGCCCCTCAAAGTCATCCATGAAGTTTGGAACTTCTTCCAAACTATTAATGTGTATATTCTGACCTCCTCCCATAAATCACATATGTTCTTAGTGGCATGTAGAATGGTTAATCCTTTACAGAAGGTTTTCAGTTTACTTTGCCCAAATCCATCAGAGCTGTACATCTTAAAAGCCATATTAAAAGAAAAAAAATCAGCTTTTCTACAAATAGCTTGTTACTTACTTTTGTATATTGTCCTGGGAAAACTATCATATACTCATTTTTATTTTAGTTATTAGAATAGCAGAGCTAAACATACCTGGCTATGTAGCTCTCATTATACGTTTTTCTTTTGTTTGTAAGCACACCTGGGGCAGGATTTCTTGCCAAACTAGGTGGTGTGGAATTTCGAGGTTTGACATTAGCTCTATGAAAAAAAGAAAAAATAATGGAAAAGTATTGAACAGTGAGCATGCATTTCTCAAATTACCTACTCACATGATTAGAAAGAATACTTAGAAGCTTCAGAGAAGTTCAAAAGATTAAAGTCCCAATAATTATTTTAAATCTGAAAGCAAATAGCAGTTAATATTAAAGATAAACCAAAGAATTTTGCACTTACTAACACTATTCTGATAATAAATAAAATCAACTAAAATATGTATATATGCTTTACATGAAATTTATAAGGTAATTATTCTGAAAGACACATTTTTAAAAACAGTTTAAATTTATATTTCCCTCAAAACATATGTTCTGATAAATGGTTATGGATAACTGTTAAATAAACACACAAGTTTCATTATTATTCTAAGCATACACGATGTAGTTAAAAAAAGAATTTTTTGCTAGTCACATTAAAGAATAATAATCAATTTATGAAAGTTCTAAAAAGCAGCAACTAAAATAAATGAGTTAATATAATATTCCCTTTAAAGATTTAATTTACCAACTGCACAGTCTGGGCTATCCGAAATCAGAGGGACTTCTGGTTGGATCATCCATGAGTCTCCATTTTGAAACTTTAAGAATCAAAGAAGGTTTAGAAAGCTAAATGATGATGATATAACACTAAAAGTAGAGGCTTGGGAATGCAAATGAATTTAGATTCAAATGCCAATGCTACTTACAGTGTCGTGACAGTAAGTCTGAGTCTCACTGTTTATAAAATGATCACTCATAGAAAGGTTATGAGATAAAAAGTACAATTCATATAAACATTTAGATAGTTGATGCTAATACTATTACTACTGTTATTGCCACTGCAAGTTAACATTTATAATAATAGTGTTTACTCCATGTCAAGTACAATTCTATTTTGTCCATAGAAATTTATTTATCCTAATAATCCTATGAAATAGATAGCATTAATAACTCCATTTACAGATAAGACAAATGAGGCAAAGAACCCCTAAGTAACTTACCCAAGGTGACACTGCTAGTATGTTCCAAAGCTAGGATTTAGATGTTCATTAAAGCATAGTTCCCTCCCTCTCTATAGAGCTTTAACCAAATCTTTAAATTTCACAAGTGAGCAGTGTTGTGTTATATGAACAGTAGAATACTTTAAAAAAATACCTCCAGATTAGAGGTTCTTAAACTTTAGTGGAAATTCTTCTTACTCTACTTGCATGGCAAAGTAGGAGAGAGTACCCTAAAATTGTAAATAGCTGCTTCCAAAGTACATGCAGGTAATAACATCCACTATTTTTCAAACAGTCACTACAAGACAAATATGAAGCCAGGTACTACACATGCCTTACTTAATGTCCCCCAAATCCCAGAAGATATTATTCCCATTTTAAAGTGGAAGCATGTTCAAAGAGATTATATAAATTGTGAGGCTACTATGTGGCTACAGCAGTACTTGAACTTCAGTGGGCTGTATTACAGAACTTATATTCAATATACAATGCTGTCATTCAAAGTGGTTGCTTTGCATGGTTACTTCTTTAAATTACTTCTAAACTTCAACAAGCAAAGAATCACTTTGGTGCATGAATGGAATGCCCTGCACCTCTTCAAATGCACACTCCAAGTTCATTCATGAGGTTTACTCTACTCTTGTGTATAGCCTCTTTTGGGATGTTGTAGAACTACTAGAGTCTCTTTCTAGAAATTCAATCTCTAGGGAATCATTGTCAAAAAATGGCATTTAAATAGGAAGAACACTCTTTTTGGGGGGGAGGGCGGCTATAGAATCATCTTAAGTGAATGAAATATACGAACAATACAAACACACCCATGAATATATACACATGTCACCATATCGGTAACTTGAGGTTGTTCAAAATATTTATATTTAGAGGAAAATATAAGAGATTATCATCATTAATAGCTACCAATATTAAATACCTGTTATTTATTTTTAGTAACATATAGAACGGCCTTGATCACTTGAAACATCTTGCCCCATTCTTACACAGTCCACAAATTTTTCTTTCTGTTCAGAATCTGCAAAGCATTACTCTTAACTCTGTATCTAGAATCTACCTGTTACAACTCATATTAATAATTAAGAAGGTTTAATTTTGGAATTGTACTTAATCCATCTTACTGCTAGTCACTGTTACTGTGAGATCTGCATCAGAGGGTTCTGACAGTAGAATCAGCAAAATGAAAAACGGCTCACGGCAGAAACTCTACCTGCTAAGATTTATAACTAACTACTTAAAAATAGCAAATGGCTACTGCTAGTATCTTAAAGACTTCTCTTATTTTTATTTACCTAGTTAAATTTGTTATTACTTTTCATACATATATACTGAGCAGACTGCTGTAGTAGGTGTTGGCTGAAAAGTTAACTAAGTTACTCTGTTTAATATTTTCCACCATTAATAGGTAAATTAATTTTTAGGTCCTAAAATCATATTTAAAATGCGGGCTACAATTGAGACCCAAATTAGTAAACCTTGAAAGCTCATGCTCTAGAGTTTCAAAGTAACTGCCATTGCCACACACTCTTTTCAGCCAGCCAAGTCAAAACTGGCTGTGTCATACTCTTTCCCAAGTTTGACTCTTTGGCAGTGTCATACTCTCCCGGTTGTAGGTGGAATTTACAACCATCTAACAAAAAGACTAAGGACCCTTGGATTGAAAGTTTCCTAAAATCTTTTCTTTTTCCAGGCTTTTTATAATAGTTCACAATATGCTTATCTAAAAGATAATCTAACAATATTATAAACTGCATGAGACATTATTTTTCCCAAACACTACTTTTTAAAACTACTATTATAAAAAAAATCCTAATTACTACTAAAAAGACTTAATAAAAAACAATTAAATGAGACTGCAATTTAAAATCTCCAAAAATTAATATTTAATGGAATAAATATATAATCTAAAAATAGTTTTATTTAGTACAACAGAAATGCTTACTAAAAATCAAAATGTTTTAAATCCTAGATTATTCAACACATTTTGGCTTAGAAATTATTAAACAGATTTTTTTTTAAGTATAGGACAGTAAAACTTACATTATTCCATTACATAAAGCTTTTAAGGAAATATCTGAAAAATATTAACCAAACTGAGTTACAAATACTTACTTGTAAACAGGTAATAACTCATGTCTTTTGATGGCACTGTCTGATTTTGTATCACTGTCATACAACCTTTGCACAAGTCTTCCCGTTCGAAGTGGAGGGCCTAACTTGTCCATATTACTATTAAAATATATAAAGGTGTACCCATAAGGCGATTGCTACTGTTTCTTTATATAAAGTTTTTTTTTTTTAAGACATTATTCTGGTTTAACAGAAATCTACTCCCCAAGTCCTTAATTTTATCTGACTGTCAAGGTAAGAACTAATGTCCAGAAGAATCCTCAGAGAGAGTTCATACAATGTCCATTATTAGGTCTGAAAATTCTGACTACACAGGCTACCCTACACATCCAAACAAATGTTAAATTATACACAGCAGGGCAATGGAATCAATGAAGAAACTTAGGAAGGACAACTATTTCAAAAAAAAAATCATGAAGCTAGAAGTGAACTGAATGCTGTTATTCACAAATAATTTTTCTTCCTCCCTGAATTCAGAGAAACTTTCTCTATTCTTCATATTATTTATTTCTGTGCTTTTTAAAATTCCAAAAATAAGGAATTGAATAAATAACGTTTACCCCATCTGACTTTCTAACTCCACCAACTTCTCACAAAAAAAGTGACTTTATTTCTGAAATGTATCCAAAGTAAAACAGGACTTGGCATGGAAAAAAAACCTTGGATGACAATTCTAAAAATCACATGTAATAATGGTAAGGCGCCATTCCATCTAAATATATATATATGCACACACACACATTTTGACCAAAATTATAAAGGATCTCCATCTAGAGGATAGCAGGACAAACTGCAGGTTTGTAGGATATTTCACTGTTTTAAATCAACCAACCAAATAACTGAATCATATAAACTATCACCAACCAACATCTAGTCATAGTAGGAAGCAGGGAAAATTGAATTACGAAATTAGGAAAGAAACGTATTTGCCTACTGAATAACACATCACTGCTTGTTAACTTTAAAAGTCCATCCTTTTTAAGAGATATTTGCTCACTCATTTCTTCACTTATTCACTGACTATAAACCCCTGAGCATCTATTATGTGTCAGGCACTGTGCTACATTCTGAGGATGTGCTGGTAAATAAGATAGATCTGATGCTTTTTCTTATGGAGTTTAGTGTCTGAAAAGGATGTGTTCATTTTCCTAGATTACAGATATCTAAGAGGAGGGATACATTTTATTAATTTTTGTCTTCTTTCAGTAGCTTATACATAGCAGGCATTTTGTTGAAAAAGTTTATATTAATGCTTTGCAGGTGGTGGTGTTTATGTGAGGATTTAAAGTTCTTAAAAGCAGCCTTCATTAAATAGATGTATTGAGTAAAATTTCTAAAATATTTGAAGTTAAAATTTGTTTTTAATTTGGTAAAGTACTAAGAAAGCCATCTATTGGAATTTTAATTAAACATTCAGATTTTATTCTAAATCCTTAATTATCAAAACATTTTTGTTCCAAACAGTGGTTATCTAAGAAAAGGCATCTGTGATTCTGAAAATAATGAGCAAAATTTTTCTTTCTCAGAAAAAAATTACTGAAAGTAAAATTTAGAAAATCTTTTATTATATTTTAAAAACATACTCCTCTTATATGATAAGAAATGGTCAAATTCTACATGTGATACAATAAAGTTCAGTTTAAGAAAGATGTGTAAAATATAATAAAAATCTAAAGGTAATTATCTAATTGAAAGCTAATTATCTAATGGAAATATTACATATATAAAAAGATTGCCAATATTTTCAGATTTTGAAAACCTAATTGAAGGACGGGTTCCAATAATGATTTGAACCATACCTGTAACATTCAATTCGATTTATATGTGTGCATATATATACACACACATGTACATTCACAAC